GAAGGTTCTCTTCCCAAGGGGCTGAGCACACACACACACACACACACACACACACACACACACCCCTCCCACCCTCTTCCAGCACCCAGTTGTTCTGACTCCTAGCGATGCTGTAGGGCAGAGAACTGCCCCACCGGCTTTCAAGGCTGCGACTCTGTGGAGACAGCCAGCCTCCTCTTTCTCCCCCAGAGCAGCTGGTGGGCTGGAACTCCAGTGCTTTACCCCAGTGCCACCCACTCCCTGCCCCTCCCACGGGACCCTGGGGAATTGTGGGGGCTCTGAGCTTCCCCTGAGCCTCTTAGAGCCCTGAGCCTGATCCCCTCTGCTGGGCTGGGTTCCAGGACGGTCCTCTGAGGATATGGGGTCCCGGTGAGCCCAGAGGGAGGGGGTGGGTGGCGGGTGCCCACACCGAGAGGGAGAGGGAAGGGCCCAGGCAGCCCAACCTCTCAACCTTCCTCATACCACAACCCTTTCAGACAGTTCCTCATGTGGTGGCGACCCCCAACCATAAAATTATTCCCGTTGCTACTTCATCACTGTCATTTTGCTGCTGTGATGAATCAGGCGACCCCTGTGAAAGGGTCGTTCAACCCCCAAAGGGGTCGGGACCCGCAGGTTGAGAACCACTGCTCTAGAGCCTCCGAGGAAGTGGGCTTGGTTTGGACGGAGTGTGGAGCTTGGAGCTTGGACTGGAGGTGAGATCCGAGCGGTGAGGCTCCACAGCCTGGAGGCCCTGTCCCCTGCCCGCTTCCCTCCCCCAGGTCTCCTCTCTGTTCCTCTGCCTGGTGATGGAGAACCACAGGGACACCTTGCAGACAGTCATTAGGAAGCAGAGGGAGATGAAGACAGCCTTCGACCCCCTGGTAAGACAGTCCTCTGCAGACAGCCAGCCTGGCCACCTCTGGGCTCACAGCTGCGGGCTGAGGGCTTAGGGAGGCCAGGGGCTAGCAGACCCTGGCTGGACTCTTTCCCCCATGGATGGACACAGTGGCTGCTGCTGCGCCCCATGCAGTGCGGCCACTGGACGCATTCTTACATGCGCCCTCACTCCAGGGACTCCAGAAGGCTCTAGCTGACCCTCCCCCCAGTCCCTGGGGGCAGAGCTTCTGAGTCCTGTCCAGGCTGCCCCTGAGCCCCAGGCAGGGAGAGCATGTCTGGAGCTCTCGGGGGGCTGGTGCCCCCCATGGCACCGGACGCCTTCAAGATTCCTCCATGCTGTTTCTCTTGGGGGAACCCTGGTGGTGGAGTGGTTACGCACAATCCACGTGGTCGGCAGTTCAAGACCACCAGCTGCTCCTTGGGAGGCAGACCGAGCTTTCTGGCCCATCCACAGGGGCGGTCTCGGAAACTCACAGGGCGCTGTGAGTGAGTCGGCCGGACTCGGTGGCCGTGAGTGCGGTGTGGCTCCGTTTCCCTTGGCGTGCCGGCTGTCCTTCTCCCAAGCCGGGACAGGGCTGGGCAGCAGTTTCTGCCTCCAGACTGGCCTGGCTGGGTGTGGGTGACTGGCTCTCAGTGCCTCTCGGTGGAGGGTCCGAGATTGCCCTGGGGCACTAAGTGGGTGCTGGTGTAGGCGGCAGGAGTCCTTCCACTTGTCGGAGGGAGGCTGTTAGCCCCTCCAGCCCCGAGCGCTCCCCTGTGCCAGCACTTCTGGCCCGTGCCCCATGGTGGGCAGTG